TTTTTTGAATTATGTTAAAATTGGCACGTAGAAAAAAACCTATTTGCCATCCCTGATTTAGGAAATATTTAAATAGCAATATGTACACTGTACAGATATCAATTATTGTACCAATTATAAATGTACCTATATAAATGAACTGCAATGAACTACTAAATTATACTATACTTCGTAATTAATTAATTTGTATTGCAGTACTTACTACAAAAGATAACTAAATTACCTCATCTATGTATATCGTATTTAATAAGTGGTGAATAAACGATACAAGACCGGATGGCAGTATTGTGGTAAATAGTTCCCATCGATTCCTTGTTCTTCTGAACAGAAAAAAATAAAAGGAACCAATCTTCAGACTTCAGTTGTTAGAAATATTACACATTGTTTAAAAGTATTATACATTACTAGATATATTATTAAATGGTTGCTAATAAAACTCATTTTAGCCTAACTTAAATACACGTTGCTGCTACTTTGTTTTATTAAATTAAAAACTTGGTTAACATTTAAAATGGACGAACAAAAATTGCTAGTTTGGATCTATTAAAATAATATACATCGGAATATTGAAGTGAAAGTTGATACAACCATAAAACCATTCACAAATGAAAAAATATATTGATGTTACGTTTAAATTATTTCAATATAATATTATGTGTACATTGTAAATATACATTTATACAAGTCCTTGTCCTACACCTGTCCTTCACTACTGTGCACACCAAAGCACACATGAGTATAACGGTGTTCGTCAATTGCGCCGGATTTGGGACACTACCTAAAAAAGGTGTATTAAAAAGGTATACATCAATTGCACCGAAGAATTTGACAATGACAAAAACTGTCTTAATTGGTTTTAATTTTTATAATAATTATATTATATTAATTATATTATTTTTATAATAATTTGTACAACAATAAACAAAAATATATACATTACACACAATTTATACAATTTATAATCTAAAAGTCAATAACTGTAAAAGTTTTAAAATATTTGATATACAAGTGACTTATCAGGAAACATCAGCTTTATCAGATTGTGAGGCAATTAAAAATATGTCGAACAAATGGTCAAATATTATATTTTATTTTGCCATGTCTAATAATTTCTCATGTCGGTTCAATACTCAAATTGTCTTGATTTTGGTGTCAATATTTACTTTTCTAAAAAAATAAATTAAAGAAAGTAAGAAAGTCAGCAGAAAGTCCTTCAAGGACAGTAAAAGCTGAAGAAGAAGAAGAAGAAAAAAATAAATTAAAAATAGAAAATATAGATATAAATGAAGATTTTTATTTAATTACTTTATAAAAAATGTTTGTAGTGGTAGCTTATGCGTTTTACAAATTCAAACATATCTAAATTTCCATTTAAATATTTGGATATTTTTTCGTCAGCTAGTTTTTTGTTTTTTATACTTATGATTTTTTATTTTATTTTCTTTCTCGACGCTATTTATTTTTATGTATGATTGAAGTTGAATCATTTTTAAAACTTTTGAAATCAATAGAAATTGTATTATACACGTTTATATAATGATATATTTAAGAATCGATCAGCGCAATTGATGTACACAATTTATAACATTCAAATACTGATCGGCGCAATTGATATATACCTGAGTATAATAGGACCCTTATACGAACAATAACTATACGTTTATCTTACCGTATCGTTTTTGAGTTTTTCCCCACCCCGTACAAAACATTTTCACCACCGAGACAGTATTACTACCGTCAAATTTCTCAAGTATATCCGTACAGCAAACGTCCTTGGGTATGCGCACGAGCTGACAGCAGCGGCGCGTAACCCATGACAACCGACCAATGATCAATAAAATATAAAATACTAAAAATCTATGTAACACAGCCATGCGATAGCAAAGGCACGCTTTTCGTATAATTATTAACATTTCATTATTGCCTAATGATCACTGCTGTTATTATTATCATAACTAAAGTGGACCATAGAAGTATTATTTTATTTGTGATGACGAGGAATGATTAACCTTGAGAGCAAAGCAGTGTTCCGAATGATAAAAAATTATTTTTATTATTATTTTTTGTTTTTCTGACATAAAAGTTTTATTTGACATTATTTAAAATAGTATATTTTAAAAAAAGCTCTATATATTTACAATTTACATAAGATTATAAATTATTTATTTTAGGTAGGTACACTTTGTTTTATTAAAAAAACAAATTAAGGATTAAAATTTAACATCGTAATACATTTATAGATTAACATAGACACATAATACTTCAGATATATAAAACGATTATTTTCTTTGTAAATTATTAAATAAACAGAAGATAACCGTTCAGCCTTAAGTATTGCTCTTATAGTCTCATATATTTTTCATTTATTTTATTTTCTATTAGTAGAATTTAGGAAAAATATTTTGATCAAAGATTTTATCGAACATAATTTAAAATCAAATTTTATTATTATGTATTATTTTATTGTAATATGTCCATTGCAATAACTTGTATACGACATATCTACTAACTTAAATTGGGTGATTGTACTGAAATAATAATTATTATGTTACCTACATGACTCCATGTATATAATATTGTACATTTATATATTATATGTATATAGCACACACACAATACGATTATCTGCTGACTGATTCAATGATTTATTAATTATTTACACTCAATTAACTGTAAGGCTTATGCCTTATATTGCCAATCTAAGAGTGGTAGTTCAGTGTAGACTGTAGAATGAGACATTATTAGACATAAACATCTTTCTATTACTTTCTGAATTCCCAATGACTAAATGACTATAGAATACTGTAGTTGGTTCTACAGCTACCTGCTATTGTAAAACTTAATTTTGAAGTATTTAGTAGATTATATAACCTAATACTAATGTTCACAAGAAAACTAAAAAGCCAGATAATAAATAAGTACCTTTTAAATGTAAATAGTTTCGCTATTTTCGTTTTTTGGTCTTTTCAAGTCATAGTACCCAAAAATTTATCTGCGGTTCTTCAATTTTTTTTTTTTGAAGAAATGTATTGAGTGGCTGTTACAGTTTTTTTACTTAATTTTCAGTTAAAATAAAACAACATTTAAAATAATATATTTTTTAATATTTTTTATCGTTATAATTTTTTAAATATTTCTACTTTTCTGAATGAAAATATAGATTTTTAATTTCATATTCTAAAGTGGAATATTTTCTAAGTGTTTTGATGCATAAAAATTAAAATTCGGACGAGAAGTTTATGAGTTATACACTTATAACATTACAACTTAAAGTATTTTAAGTTTAGGTAAGCGAAGTGAAGTGACACGACTAAATGTAGATATGTAGGTACACCACATACTGTCTAAACTTAAAATATCTTTAAGCTATAATTCTTTCTGGCTTACGCATAATATAGACAAAACGCATTTACGCATAAAATCATTTTTTTTAATGTTTTTGAGTAATCTTAGAGTAAAAACACATACCTATTACAAAAATTATAGAAGATAACATTTTTGAGGGTTTAAAATATCGGTTTTTTTATTTTATTAATACTTGACTTAATATTCAACTTTCTAAACAAAAAAAGAAAATACAAATTTAAATAATTTAAAAAAAAATTTTAAGACAATATTTAAACAAATCCATAAGTCACACTCTCAAAAACATTATTCTCTATAATTTTAGTACTTAAGGAAAAACATGAATTTTTACGCAAAACTAATTTTTGACAAAATCGATTATAATTTTTGTTATAATTCAAAAACGAATAACCGTAGATACTTAGATTTTCACCAAACGCTTATATTGTCATTTTCTACGTACCTACATTATAAAACTCAAAGTATTTTGAGTTTTGACTCTTTGTGAGGTAGGATTAAATCCTATGAATTTTCATTGATAGATATCTTCAATAATTTTCGCTTTTTTTTTTAGTTCTTTTTCTATAAATGTCGGATAAATATTTATGTTGTGACAACGGCATGAATAATTAGCACGATGACCCAATTGAAATATCGAATGGCATCAATGCGGTTCCTCATGTCAACGTTTCATTGTAACCGGGAACTGTACCCGAATAAGCAATTAGCAGCAACTGTTGTTGCTAGGTTAGATTAACGGAGTCGATGTTGGACGAGCAGTGTACAGTAAAAGATAATGCTATATCCATTGTGGACCACATATAGGTCATCATGATCACAACCTAGCCAACACCTTTGACTAAACAGCACAAAGTTCTGTAGCGATCAAATGTCTTAGTGTCTAATAAGCTGGTTCTTATTATACACAATATAGTATAATAGGTTCTTATTAATTATTATAGGTATATAGATTACAAACCGTCCAACTCGTACCATTATACCAATCTTTTACTAAAGAAAACGTATCATCCATATATTTGTTATATAGTAGTTTTCTAAATATAGTTTCTACAGTTTAGCTACTTTGTTTATTTCACATGGATAGGTAATTGATTAAAAATATATATTTGATTAGTGCTATAGGTATATGTTAATATCAGAAATTTTATGGATTTATGTTAATACCAATAACTAAATGGTATGCAGATTGAACACTTAATCAAGCAATCATTTTATAAATTAATACAATTAGTTCTTTCTAATATTATAGATTAAATAACACTGTAGTTGATAAGTACTTTATTGATACATCTATCAGTTCATAATTTAACACAAAATATTAAAATAAAGTTTATTCCATTTTAATAGGAATTAAATACATTCATACAAAAGAACTAATATATGTACTTAATTTATTATTATTTTTGTAATTTACTAGATAAAAACTATTTTGATAGTAATAGTATTGTATTGATTATTTTTTAATTGGTTAAAATAGTTATGAAAGGGTAAGACTTGTAAGAATTCAACAAAATATGTAAATATTAGTATAATTTACAAAAATATTCTTAAAAATGTATAAAAAATTTAATTAATCTTAACATTAAAACATAAACATATTCTATTAAATCAATAATTAATCAGAGGAATTCACAATATTATTTAAAAATTCATTACATTCGTGTTTATAATTTTTTTAGAATTAAAATTTATTATACAATAATTTTTGTCTTTCTACGGAAGAACGTGCATATGTATAACAAATTTTATTATTAAATTAATATTATCTAATAGATGAATCGATTGGATGATACATCCATTCTGTTGATTCTATGAAATCAATTTCTTTTTCTAGTTCTTTAAGTCTTTTCGCGTGTTCTTCAACGTTGATAAGATCGATTCCAATTTCATTCATCTAAAAACATACAATCATATTATTTGTAAATTATGGGTTTAAACATCAAGTATAAGATTACTTATAGTAGCATGAAGTATTCCTTTTAAAGTTTGATAATTTTGATTTGAAATAAGTAATAAATTAAAGCGAAAAAAAATTATTTGAAATACAATTTTTTTGCTACGTTATTATTTTAATATGCCTGATAAAACTAAAACAAATAATGAACCTACTAAAACAAAAATAAATCAAAATAAACATTATAACGACAAAAAAGTGTTATGTATTTTCACATTATACCTAGTAAAGATTTGATTATACAAATATTAATTTGATAACAATAACACATACAATAACAGTACGTAACAAGCAACATTAAAGATTAAAATATGAAATCTAGTTTTTCTTTTTAATTTCACATTTCCTACAACAGATATTTAATTTCAACAAATAGTTGGAAAAAAAATATGAAATTAAACACATAGTTATTATTATTTAATGTATATTTAACTTGTTATTGATTATACAATAGTTAATTAAATAAAACTTTTAGAATTTAAATTAACTTAATAGATAATATACAAATATATTTACCTGGCCTTCAGTTTCACACGGTTGCTTTTATGAACAAACAAAAAAAAAAAAAAATACAAATATAAGTTAGTGGTTATATTTCATAATTTATAGTACAAAAATTGTATTAATAAATAATAACTATACAAATAAAAGATATATATACATAGCTATATAAAGATTATTTGTCAATAGTCTGACTTATGAAAAACAAATACTAATTATAAATAATCAAAATTTTAATTACTATCAATATTATAATATCATAGTACATGCAATGAAATAAATTTAGTATGGAATTTTTTCATAAGCCATACTATAACTATTTAAAACATAATTAAAAGGAATTTTTTTACTTTTTAGTTTGGGCTGCACTAAGTCTTTTAAAGTTAGCTAAACTTTTCATAGAATTAGTATAACCTGTTATCTCTATCCAATACATAAAAACTATTGAAAAACAACTTTGGAATTTTTCACTTCATGTAACAACTATTTATAAACTTGGACTATTTTTTCACAACATAACTGAGTGTTTCATATAAGCTGCTTTTAATATTTTTACCTTTTAAATAATTATAAACAATATAAGTTTATAGAAAATTTTTAATAATTCAAATATTTTAAACAGTTAGTGTAGAATATATAGATAAATACTTCTTGAGAAATTGTGAATACCCAGTTTAAATAGTTTGGCTACAAATTTTCAAGTATGCAATAGATAAATAAAGGCAAAATATTTTTCAATCATTCTCTTAAACATCAAACTATCACCTATAATTTGTTTATTCAATTCTAATCGAATGTGTATAACTCAATAAATAATCCTGATAAAAGCTGTATATGAAGATTGAGCATTTTGTAGTATTATTCATACATTTGATAGACTATTAAATATTTGAAGGTTAAAATCTGACACTTGGCTAAAATTAAAATACTAGATAAATGAAGTTTCAACACAAATTTTGACTAATGACAATTTTTAGAACATCGGTAATATACAAATAAATAATTTTGATACTAATCGATAATAATAATATTCTTTTGATCGCAAAAAAAGCCATAACAATAAACATAAAATTAAAATAACTAATAAGAACAATGATTATAAATGAAATATTTATAATTCATAAAAATAGAAGTAAGAAGTTTTGCACTTTCTTCTTTACATTATGGAGTATATATTTTTAGTTAATTTTTTTTTTAATTTGAGGTTATTTTTAACCAATTTTCACTTGTCAAAAAAAAAATCATATCTTTTTCTTATAATGTCAAGCTTTATAATTTAATATTTATTCATTTAAATATATTACAGCTGATAAAAAAAAATTATTATTTATCTTGGTTTTTTCTAGGTTTTAATTATTTTTTATATTTGTGTCTTATTTTCATCATCGCCTTTTAAGAAAATATAAATAAATGCTTCTAGTGAAGCGGCTTCTGATAGGAAATTGGTTTTTAAGTACACAAAATGGTGACCCCCCCCCCCCCCCACCCCAATGACCTAACAACACAAAACTAATACCTGACAAAAATCTCACTGTTGTTTTTATTTATTGTGATTCATAATGAATAACAGAATAAATACTTGAAAATTTCTCTAATTATAACATTTTATATACCAGCAAACTCAATTCCTTCTAAGTGATAAGACATTGACAAAAACCGATGAGAAAGTTGTTTTGATGAAAAATAATATGAAAAAGAAAAAACTTAAGCCAAACATTGACCATTACCCATAACATAAACAAAATAACATTCTCAAAATGTTTGATGAAAGGGGATAGATAAACTTATTGCAATGTTTACAAGTTAAAGCTAATCCTCTTTCATCACCAACACCACCACAATAACAATAGACAATGAACATAAAATCTTAATAATTATTATTTTTCCTATACCTCATATTTAAAAAAAAATTAATTGATAATAATGAATGTAAGTATATTAAGTTCTCTTGATTTTTGAGACATACTTTTAAGAACTTTATTGTAATTAATAACCAATTTTTTATGAATGACCAACAATGTTAACCTATTAATTTAAAAAAGAAAGAATGTTAAATTTGATAAAACAATAAGTCATATCATTAAATTAATTCCTTCTTAAATGAAAATTACATCTTAGGAGTTGATGAATAATTATCAAATGAAGAATGCAAAATACGAGCATTTATGACTATTTAATGTAATTTATGATTTTTTTAATATAGCATGACATATTATTAGTTAGCAAAAAAAATTTAAATGTCTTATTTAAAATGTGATAAGTTTTTAAATGGAAGACATTCTAAAACAATAAATGGAAAAATATAATTTATCTTTCTAAATATATTATTTTAAGCTGATAAAAGGTGTACTGAAAATTTAAAAATACTTCAATATGGATTATAAAAAATATAATAATATGGGATTATAAAAAAAGTCATGGGAAAGGAGAGATCTATCTCCCATATAGTGAGACGGAAATATATTATATTTTATTTAGTTTTCATTATGAGAAAAGATAATTTATAATTGCTCCTGATCAAATAATATTTAAATAAAGTCATATTCTAATGATTTTTTTATCAAATTCAACTAATACCTGGACTAATATAAGTATTGGTGATATTAAATTCTCTGTGTTTTCTTGATTAGTAGTTGTTGATTTATCAATAGACCAGCTCTGTTTAATCATCTCTTTAATAATAGATTCTGTTTCAGAAGTTTCAGCACTTGAATTATCTTCACATGATGTATTGGATGATGCTGAAGATGACCATGATGTATCGTCCATGTTATCGCCAATAAATGGTTGAAACTTGTTAAGAGCATCATTTGGATAGCTTGAATTGTCATCAATCATTTCAGATTCTTCATCAGACGAAATTTCTGATTCATCAGTAGTTGTATAATCTAAATCTCGCACTGAACATGAATTGTCAAATGTATATGGCATGATTTGTGATGTAGAAGCTGATGATGTAGATGCTGTTGATGTAGATGCTGTTGGCACGTCACTCATTGTTCTGGTCAATAAATTCTAAAAAAGATTTTTAAGTTAATCAGTTATTCATAATATTAATTCAATAATATTCATTTTCAAAAAGCACATTGAATACATCCTTTAGCCATAAGTGTACCATTAATACATAAATTGTTCAATAGATAATTTAAAATTTAAATAATTTAGTCTTGTGAAATTTTAAGAAATCGTTTATAAGATAAATATTATTTATAATATAAAATACAAATTAATTAATGAATATTAAATTCAAATAATTTTATTAAATAATTTAATAAACATTTATAGTAAAAATAAATAAAAAAATAAAATTCATGTAGGTTACAGGATATTCAATTTTACCAAAATAATTTAATTTATAAGTATTAACTAGAATTTTAAGGAATAACATAATACTACCATTACATTTTACATGGTTTTGTAATTAAATGTAATTTTATCAATATGTTTTTTAACATTAATTTTGGAATAACATAATATAAGGTTATGATAAGTATATAAACTTAAATATAATAATATATAAAATTTGTAAAAAGCAGCCATATTTCAGTAACATTTTTAATATTAAATATATTAATTTAATTTTTTAAATATGCATTGCAATAATAATACACAGTCAAGCTTAGTTAACTCAGTTATAAATACTTCAAACTTTTTCTTCGGTCTCCAGAATTTCTTATTTAAATAATGTAAAAAAAAGTTTTTAACTCAACTATAGAAGTGCAAATTTTATTAAAATCAGTAATATAAAGGTTACTTACATATTATGTATGTAGATTGTATAATGACTATATAAAATAAAGTAATTTATGTTATTGTTACTAATTAATTATTTATCAACCACTTATTAATGACTAAATAAACATAGAATTGTGATAATTTAATGGAATACATCAAAAGGTTATTGATGATTTTTTTTTATTACTTAATAATATTAAACTATTCTCTGTTTATAATGCAATCATTGGCAAAAATTGCCAAATAAACATGAATATTTTTTTTAAATAATTAATTATAGTCATAGTAAAATAAATATCTACCTACTAATTGTATAAATAGGATTTAAAAATAATAAATAATATTAAAAAAAAATATTGTATTAAAAATGCATGTGTATGTCCTTTATTTTAAATCAAATTTTATACTTTAATTTTTGTTTTTCTGAGATAACATGCATTTATTTACTGGCCCCTTCAAATAAAAATTAACCAAGTTTGACTGTATACTATAATATATTTTATTTTACTTCATACTTGTTTTTAAATTCAGAAACAAAATTTATTAAATTTAATAAATAACTATAGTGTTCATAAATAAATATGACTTGTGATATGTATTTTAATAATGTAAGAGAAAGATATCAACAAATAACTAATTAATAAAAAATAAGGATTAATATTAATGAAATAAAAAATGTCAATTTGTTGCTTATTTAGAAGCACTGCAGTATTTATGTTAAAATGTACAAGAAAAAAAATAATAATAATAAATTAAATAAATATAATAAAATAATTAGTGATATAATAAAACCTGATTTATATGATTTAACTGAGTCCAAAGAAACTTAATTACATTTTGATTTTGCTATAATTAAGTCATTCATTCAAAATCAATCCTAACCATTTAAATATTTATTAATTGAACTCATAAATATACTTAGTATTTATTAAAAATAAATCTAAAAAATATTCTTTTTTTTAGTTCTATAACTGAAACGAACAATTGTTGGTGTTTAGTTAAGTTTATTAATCGTTTAATTAATAACATCAACAAAAAATATTTATTTTCATAATGTGTTATTTATTATTTTTGAAAATATTTGTTTTGATTTTAAAATAATATTTTATAGTCATACAAAAATGACTAATTAAAATAATATTGTTGATGAAATATTGCCAATATTATTATACTTGTACACATGAACATATCAAATTATGAACGAATATGTTACTATACATCTAAAATATAAAAAATAAGCAAGAATAGAAAAATTTAGTTCAATCTCAAAATAAAAATCCAATTGTAGGTTTAAAAAGTTAAAAAAGTTTCATAATTTTAAAATGAAAATATTAATATTATATAATATTAATTTATTGATTCATAATGAATTAAAAAAAATTATTTTAAATTCATTGTTTTGGATTCTTATTTTGATAAAAGATTGTAAATTTGATATATTTTAGTTGAAAATAACTAAGAAGATCCCGAAATGAAAAAGTGTTAGACTATAGGCCTATTTCATAAAATATCAACATTTGTTTAAACTTAATATAGTGTTAGTATTATAGTACTCAGTTTAAGTAAGGATACTAGAGCAATTATATTTTACTATTTACGTTAAATTTACGAAGGATCCAATCAAATAAGGATTGCTTTAATGCATTGGAACATTTTTTGATACATCTATATCCATTTGATAGCATTTCCATATAACCAAACTATGTTGCCTATCAATGATAACAAAAAATAATAACATTAATTTTGATTTAATTATTAATATACAACTTTTGTTTTTTTTCTTGTTAAATTTTAATTAATACACACCACCAGCGGAAAAAAAATAAAATTTTATAAGTTACATTTTTTTGGAATTATTTTTAATATCATTAAAAAATAATATATAGTAGTCAATCTTGAGTTCTTAATCTAGAAAAATGTTGGTGATGAAAATGTTTTGAATAAATAAATTGTTAAAGTTTATGTTTAAACCATAAATACTAAAGAATAATTCATAAGTAAATAATATTTTAATTCATAGAATAAAAATAATTTTTTTAATCAAATATAAAATTTCAAAAAATATACTTAAAGATCTAATTTGAATATAAATATATATATAAAAAAAATAAGTATTATATTTAGGTAAATTAGAGATGAAAGAAACATTTGGTATACCGAACAACTCATTCTTTTTTAATTGACGAGAGAAGAATTTTCTTAGATTATATGTATGTTTGTTCAATACTTAAAATATCAAACTAAAATTTTTACTGGTGGTAAGTGTTGATTATAATATAGGTAAATTAGAAGATCATAACTAATAATATTTAACTTGATTTATTAGATAAATGTATTATATATAAATAATATACATCTAAAATTAAATATATAGATTAATATTGTAGACAAATGATAACCATTATTTTATTGTCTTACGTACTAATATAATATACACTAAATGATAATAATAAATACTTAGAGTAAAAATAATAAAACCAATACATCCAAATAATATCATAAACAGGGTTGGAATTTTATTGCATTTATATAAAATATTTAAAAAAACACATTCCTTATAAGACAATTAAAAAATATAAAAATAAGCTTAAAATGGGTTTCATGATTCACAAAACTAAAATTAAAAATGTAATTTTGCATATTTTTTATGCAATTTTCAGATTTTAGTGATACTTATGATCTTTTTGAGATATTTTTGCATTTTAACCTGTTTTTAATAAAAATGTGTCATGTATATATATATATATATATATATATATGTTACCGGCAATGTTTTAAATCCGACATTATATAGAAATCCTAGGTATTCTATAGAATACCAAAAATGAGCAGGAAAAGTATATATAATTAATATAAAACTTAGATTTGTACCTAGTGTACCTCTGTAATCAACGATTAATGTTTATTTGACGATTATGCTATCGCATACAACACGTGTGCGATTTATAATAATAATTATTAGCTAATCATATTATCATGTTATTGAGTTATTCGTGTATACAGAAAAATTCAATATAAGTCTTTAAAAATATTATTTCTTATCACTTTTGTAAAAGTGTTTGTCGTATTAAGGATACATTAAAATGTCTGAATGTTTTTATGTTGAACTAAAGAAAAGTTGAAAAATTCTGTTAACTTATCGAATGATAAATTGAAAATGTCAATCTAAAAAATGCTTATGTGTAAAAAATAATATTTTATGTAGTTCTAAATGTCATGCATCAACTATATGCTACAATAAATAAATAAATACAAATAAATAATAAACATATTTCGATTTAACACATTACCTTACATAGTATAAGCGTTTTATAGAAATCCTAGAAATTGTATAGAATACCTAGGCATAATATAAATTACCATTCAAATTCAATACATTGCCAAATAGTTCAAGGAGTTCAAGGAATTCTATAGAATTCTCAGAGAATTTATAGAATGCCTATATTTACTACTTTGCCAGTAACATATATATAAAAAGAACATTTAAATAATTATTAAACAGATTTTTAAAGTGATTATAGAGTATAGATATAATATAGTATAAAAGCTGAATAGGCTAATGTTATATAAGCAGAATTCACAATTTTGTTCTAATTTTGAAATAGTGATCTAAATCAAACACATGTAATGGAATAAACAATATTTAAATAGTGTAATTATAACTTATAAACAGGGCTTGTAAGTTTAGACTCTAAAAAATGCTTAAATAAGCATGCACTTATAGACTAAAAACTAATAAAATATGCATGAAAAATGCTTTAAAAAGTTTAAAGATATACATTCATAAAAACTAAAAATCTATGCACTTAAAATATGCAGATTAAAAAAAGAAAGACTGAAATAAACATAAGTAAACTATTGGTAAAAGTATTAAAAAGATAAGGCTACTTCATATAACAAGTTTTCCTCTAATTGCTTAATGCAGGCCCAATAGATACACTGATTAACCGAATGAAATAATAACTAATGCATTTTATTTTTAATAATTTTATAGTTGCAATAGTTCCTATATATTTTATATAGTACAAAAATATAAGTTATTGTATTTTTTATTAAATTTTGGTTAAAATACATTAAATATGCCTCATAAAATAAAACGGAAAACACGTAAATAAGTCAAATAGGCAAAATATTTCTAAATATGCAAAATAAAACTTTACATACTTAATCGTGGTATCTCGAAATGGATTTCTATGTCATTAAGCTTATAATACAATTTAGCAAAATAATATGAAAATACATGAACTCACAAGCCCCGCTTATAAGAAGTATAAAAACTAGTTTATACTGTTAATGTAGATACTATAAAAGGGAATAAAACTAGCACAACTGCAGTGTAAGAAAAATATTTATTTTTTTAAATAAAACTGCCAATTTTAATGAGAATTTATTTATCTTTAAAATGTATATATTAATTTTAATTAAATAACATTAAAAATTCAAAAAATTAAATTTATAAGATGATATATTTTTATAAGATCTACTATTATTAAAATTTATTTATTAGTGATAGAAAAAAAAAGTAAAAATATTTTATGGAAGTCTATTAGTAGAGCACAGATTTTTATGCACTAAAAAGTATTGAAATATGCCATATAATATGCAGTAAAAATCATAAAAATATGCAACAAATATATAAGACAATTTTTTTTATTTACATAAAACTTAAAAATTCAACAATAGTTAATTACTTAAATAAACTAAGTATATAAAATTTTTTCATTTAAATATGCAATGTATTTCGAATTTTGTAAAAATATACAGAAATATACAAATAAAATTTCAATGTTAGATTTAAATTCTTATGATTCATGAAGATAACTGAAAAAAATCTAAAAAAATAAAAAATAAAATAATAAGTGATTGCATATAAATCCGCACAATGGCTATAATTTATTGCTAACAAAATTACTTTTAATGTTTCTACTTGACAAAATGTTATTTTACACAATTTTTTTTTAAATTCTTGTTTAATATGCAATATATTTTGAATTTTGTAGAAATATGCAAAAATATGCAGAAATATATGAAAATAAAATTCACCATTAAATTCAAATTGTTATGACTTGTGAAGATAACTGACAAAAATCCAAAAAAGAAAAAGGGAAAAAATATGTAATTGCATAGAAATCCGCACTCTATCTATTAGTAAAGAGGTAATGAGATAGAATAAAGAATTTGCAATGACCATTATAAACATATGTATTAGCATTGATTTTAGAATATACAAAATACATAATGGGAAAAAATAATTAAATGTTAATGGTAAATAAGACATAACCTCTCTCAACAACTGACACAAACAAAATTGTAGTTGCCAATTTTTTTTAAATCACTGCTTTATTGCATATTCTAAAACTAATGGTAAGACTAATTATTTACTAAATTTGGTTTATCTTGCATAAAATAAAAAGTATTTACACAATATATGAAATTAATACACCAGAATTATATAGAACTTTCAAATTGATTCCTCTTAAAACATAAAATTTAATTATTTTTTATGTAAAACTAAATTAAAGTAAAGCTAACCACAATTAGGGTCTAAAGATTTAAGTTAGAACATGTTTAATTATAATTAAACCTCATAAATAAAGTAACTAAAATATAATTTTATTTATTTAATAATCATAAAAAGTACTGGACAGATTCACAGTAAATTAATAACAATGCTAAGTTATAAAATATAATATCAAGTATATAATATGAATATATAGTTGAAATAATAATAAAGTAAAATATTAATAAAATAACAAAATATTATAAATACATAATTATTTATGAAAACCATTGAAACAAAAATTATCGGAATAATTACTACCTATAACATATTATTTATTAATTTATTTGATCACATATTTTTATTATACAGTTATTATAAACTAAATAAGATCACGATACCCAAAAATGAATTTTCAAACCCTTGTAAATTTAGAGAAATAAATTGAAAGTTCTAGTTCACTTTGGTAAGCTGGCTTATCCAACTACAATTTAAATGTAATATGTAATTAGTGTACTTGCATGTCATTAAAAACTACACTTACAAATTTTTGTAAAGAAAAAATGGCATAGGGTTGCTCTTGATATCTACGCGTACAAGCGAGCGGGACAACTTAACAGGCCTTGATAAAAATACGAAATTTGTTGTTGATCCATGAGCATCTGTAAATACAATGTTTAACTACACACATACTTATAAATGGCCACTGCATTTCACTCGTTGAGTCCATCAATTGATGTTGAATGCAAGGCCAATCTACAGATCTAAAAATAATTTAAAATAATCCATTGTCTGATAGAGACAAATCATACTACATAATACATAATGAATATGTTGATGTTGACATTGTAACAATTTTTCTCATTCAAAAGGTATAGAATAATATTATTCTCGTGCAAAGACACAACAACACAATATTATCTTAATGATAATATAAAAATGTACAAGAACATTATTGAGCTCGCGCACCACAAAACTGTAAAAGAAATCAAATACGGGTACCCTTATATAATGTTACTATTAAAACATACATACTTATAATTCCGGATTAAGTATTGTGGTAGTTGAGTTCGGTTACGACGAACCCAGTGTAATTTATCAGTTGAGAGAAATCAACGATTTTAAGTCGTGTCAAATCTTGATAAAAGTCGGGTAGTTAATGCCGTCACAATAATCAATAGATTTTCAATAATTATGTAATATTCTGTGTGCTTAACGAAAATAACAATATGATGTCGATTAAAAATTTTAACTGTTCAAATATTCACGAGCGAATAAAATAATTTGATAAGACATCGAGACGATAAGACGAATGACATATAAAATAACTAATGACGATTATAATCACAGAATCGTAACGGACCGTGCACGTCTGAACCAAGACAATAATAATAATAATAATAATAAAAAGAAGGAGAAGTCAGAAGAAGGATAATAATAAAAAAAAAAAAAAATGAAATAAACAATAATAATATTTTGAACTTGCAGTCCGTCGTCCGTGGCTCGTATAAACAACCTTATCACAGGCCTCTGATTCAAATTCTAACGCGACGTGGGTATTTGGTCGAGATATCCAACGGTAAAAACATCCACAACAAAATACATTTTAACGCTTTTACGTCGTTATTGATTTTTAAAAGGACGCCGCACCTTGCCCAGCATTTTGTCATCTCCGTCTTACAAGTGCGGAACGTAGTAAATTACGTTCAGCAGTTTACGTTTAGCTTTTTTAGTTACAGAATCAGTATGAACCGGGCTTGTTATGAAACTTGGCAATAAGAAGTAAGAACAGTACCTATGTGTTCGTATGGATTTTAACGAAACGTCATACATTTTTAGCGAGTTATATGAGCATTTTTAAACGCTAAAGTTGCTAAAAAAAATTAATTGTCGTAAAAAACCAACATATGAACACATACTGTTCTTAACGTTAGATTTCATAATAGGTCTCATTCATTCTAATTCTTAAATAATTTACAAAGCTAAATACGTGAACCGCTGAACGTGAATTAACTTATTCATATGATTTAAATTTTAGATTTAAAAAGGAAATAAGCCAGAAATACTTAAAAATACAAAATAAAAATTATTTTGATTCACGTTTATGAAACATATTTAAGGCCAGGAGAGCATCATCTAATAAGTTCCAAAAAAAAATGCAAAATACATCAACTTCCGGGCACTATTTATGACTGATCAATTATTAATCTAAAAGTATTGATAAATTTAATTATTTAAATAATTTAAAAAAGTCAAATGAGGTTGAATAAAACACATATTTTAGTGTACAATATCCTTTCAAGGGTATAACGTTAAATAAATTATTTAATATGTTAGTTATAAAACTGATTATTTATATATTATATATATTATACATTTAAAAAAATGTTAGTAAGCCACTATATTGCTATATTGTGAATAAATGTACCTACTTTATATTTTTTAAAATATTTTTATTAACATTTAATAATAAACAATGTATTAAATAAAAATTATAACTTTTTATGAGTGATAAATATTTATTGGTATAACATTTAACAAAATGTGATATCATTCCACTTTATATACAGTGATTCCGATAAATTAAATAATTTTTATTCTCATAAATACCTTTAATTTTGTTTTATATATATATATATGATTTATAATATTTGCACAATAATTACAGTAAAATATTTTTTATATTTTTTAAATATCAATATTTTTTTTTGGAATTAATTAATTTGAAACATAATTTTTTCCAAAATATTATTTTTGGTTATTTTCACAAATAAGTAAATCTAAAATTATTTATTATTCATATTATTTCCATAGTTTACATTTAAGTGGTATTTATTTTTCATGGGTTTCTATTAAATTCTATACATTGATTTTTATATTTTTACTTAAAGAAGTTATGTTTAATTAATTCATTGTATAAGGCAGCAGTTCTCAACCTTTTTATCATTCCATACCTCAAAGTTAATATTTTGCTAGATTGTACCCCTCATTATAATATTTAAACTTTTTCATATAACTACTTTTAAAATATTTAAACGAGAAATAACAAAAAATTCTGTTACATTCTATACTCCATATCTATTAGAATAAGTTGATGGTTAAGTTTTAATTAGTGACACAAACCTTCATTTTTAATAACATTTAGTAAATAGTTTCAAAACGTATCATTTTAAACAAATTCAAAATTTTCTGCCAATAGTCAATTTCTTTCATGTACTCCTTGAGATTATCTAGCGTACCCTTAAAGGTACGCATATTCCTAGTTGGAAATTGCTGGTATAAGGTATTATAATTACTTACCATATATAAAATATTTTTCCATAAATGTGTACTTTTAATATTAAAAAAACTAAATAACAATTTACAAATGTTTTTAAATACAAATATCACAAGAAAATTCACCATATACAGCAAAAAACTATATATTTGGATGTCTATTTTGTTTGAATCTTTCATTTTTAACTATAAGTGTGATTGGACCATTTTTTTTATTTGAACAGATTTAATCCCTAGAAAAAATGTGTTCAAATATTTATTTGTAAGTAGTAAATAGTTAATGATTTAAATTGTATTAGATGACAAACACCGCATACATATCTATTCCGACTACTCCAAGTTATATTCTAATAAATAAGTAAATTATATTTTTACAACAATTATTATTGGCAAGTATAGGAATATTGAAATTTTTTCAGTTTTAGTCTGTTTGTTTGTTTTTTTTTTTAATTAAAAAGACATTTTTTTGCGTATACTTTATTTTTAATTTTATTATCACATCAATATATGCACACATAGATAGCTTTTAACATTAGAATTTACACTTAAGGTATACAATATATATGTTATGTTTTTCCTCCAAAATATGGGAACACTAAATGTATAATTCATGAGGTAAGAATAAAACATTAAACAAAACAACATAGATAAATTTCCAACAAGTATTATAAAATTTGCAAAACATTATTTGATAATAACAGAATAGTTTTGTTATACAGTGATTCTTTTAAAGCAATTTGTACTATTTTTATTATATATTTATACATAATAGTTAGAAACAAAAATCTATATCAAAAAAATAAATCTAAATCAATATTTTATTTTCATAACAATAATAATAAAATTGTAGTTATTGTTTTAAATTACAAACAAAAAGTTTTGAATATTTAAACATGTATTCATATAAAATAAAGTATAATTATTTAAAATTAAGATGAAATCGTTAATTTAAATATTTTTATAATAATTTTTAATAGTTAAATTGTTAACACAATTATTATTATTATGAAAAATATCAAATATATAATAAACTATTTAAAAATGTAAAATATTGAAATGTTTTCCATGATATGTTATTTGAAATAAAAGAATCACCATATATTATGTTTTTGGTATTTCAAATACATATTTTAATTTTTAAAGACAATAGTCACAACAAAAAAGTACTATTCAACTTTATATAATTAACTCCATAATCAGAAATAGGTGTATATGTCTATTGATTTTATAGGATAAACATTAAAAAAAACACACAACCATTAACACATAAAATATTTTAAAACAATAATAGTTTTTAAGAAACTTAAATACATTTAAATTATGAATATATTTTACTACTTGACTATAATTTAAAATTTACTATGACTAAAACTAATTAAACTACTTAAAAAAGATTATTTAATTTAAATAGACAATCAAGAAAAACATTTGACATTTATTATGTTAATATTATTTACTCGTAAAGTTTTCCAAGGCAAGCAACAGCACTAGTACGGACTTTAGGATTTGGATCAACTGTAAGACTTAACATTTTACTCGATATCAATTCAAAAGAAGATTTATTTGGATTTGCTTTGTACAACGAACCTGAAAATGAATAAATATAAACATATTATATTGACGTAATCAATAAAACAAAAACTTGAAATTATAGTTATTCTTACCAACAAATAATGCTGCATTAGCCCTTACGTCAGGAAAAATACTTTTTGAATAAGATACTCCAACCATAGTATAAATGTTAACATAAGATAAAAATTCATCAGTCTGTCAACAAAAATTTTGAGTAATTTTTTTTTTTATATACATAATTAGCTAAATATTATTTCAAAATTATTGTATACAATAGGTAATACAAACCATAATTCTACACATTTGAGTGATAAATTCTGTATACTTTAATCTTCCTTCTTCAATCAAATGATTGTGGGTCATAGTTATCATTTTTTCAGAATGTAATAAGATGCTTATATTTTTCAATGAAAATTTACAGGCCTATAAACCAAATATATAAAAACAGTATTATCATATTATCATATTATTATAATTTTAAGAATACATCAGATAATGTAAATGATAAATTAAAATTTTATTTTATAAGTTATTCTTATTGAATGAATAAGTAAATAGTAAAATTCCATCACAATATTGGTCACTTAATTTTATATTAGTATGAATTGGAATGCAGTTGTTGGAGAAACAAAAGCAAAGAAAGTAATCATGACATACAATACCAAAATTAAAGACAATTTTGTTTCTGTCCTCCTTTAAATTAGTTAAACTATCACATTATATTACATGGATGGAAAAGCTGAATGATATTATTAGCAGAATAAGAGTTTTGAGGTTAAATAAAATGCTACAAAATGAATAAACACTAAATAAAATAGTAAAAGATTTTTGAACCTAGTTGATAAGAAGAACAAATGGACATAAAATCAGACATTAAGGTAATTCATATTGGAAGAGAGCATAGAAGGTAAGAACCATATTCAAAATGTTGAAGATCAACACTATAATTAATAAAGAATAAACTAAATTAGTCATAAAAAATATAAGTTTTCATTCATAATGACAACTGAGTATACAAGCATATAAGTTTCAGCATATAAATAGTATTATAAGTGAATGGAATAAAGCTACAAATCAATCTAAACATTAATATAAACAAAGAAGAAAACTTATCGTCATTAAAAAGATTAATAATAGTTATCTATATACATATCTTATGATATCTTATGTATTACTTACATAATCAATAAATATCAAATTTTAAACACTAAGTTAATAATTAACATTTAAAATAAAAAATATAATATTTTAGTAGGTACTAACCTTGACAATATTTGTATCATTCTCACACAAGTGCAATAGAAAAGTAACCATACTGCTATGATGTAATGACATATCCACTTGAATGTTAAATTCTTTAATTTTTGAACACAATTCACCATAAAGCCTAATAGACGTGTAACGCATCTCATTATTTTCCTGTAAGATTTAAATAATTTATGAAATTATAAATAATACACACTATATATAATTAATCAAACTACTTACATTCTCAAAAAATTGTTTTATACGAAATGTTAATGTTGTATAATGCTTTTCAAATTTATCTAATGATAAATGAGGAACTAATGATATAAGACCTCGTAATGCTTCTAATGTAACATCACTTTGTAGTGTTTGATATTCTTCAAGACTTTCCATTAAAGCATCAAGTATATATTGTGACTGATTTTCGTTCTAAAAAATATATATAAAAATTAAACTTGAAATATTTAATAAATATCATAAGATTTATATAATTAATTACCAAAATTTGCTGGTGTTGACAAATTACTGTAAGACCTTTTAAACAATACTTTTTTATATCATATGAAGTATCATTTAAACACTTTAAGAAGATGTTTATTAAATTTGTAGTATATTTGACATCCGATGTTATGGTTTCTGTACACTAAAACAAATATTAATATCACGATAATTTTTTTTTTTTTAAATACATAACTATTATAAATTTGTTATTTATATAAATATGCTTACACATAAACATAAGATAACAATTCCAATTCTTTGGCATTCTAGCGTGTTGTTTACATTTTGGTCAAAATTATTTATTATTTTTGAGATCAATTCTGAATGAGTTTCAACTAAACCTCTACAATAAAACAGAATAAATGAATAACTAAGTTAGTTAAATGTTTTACTTCATTTTTTATGGCTGGCAAAATGTTTTAAATATTTTAGATAACAATTAAAATTAATTTACATTATTTTTATACATTTTGAAAATAGTATGAAAAAATTAACAATCAAATTACTATGCAACAAAAAATTATTTAAAAAAAAAAAAGAAATAATATAACTTAATTATTATTAGTTATTAAAAGGCAAAAAATAAATTATAATGTTTAAGTTACACATAAAATAAATAGGAATAAGAAAATATAAAAATGAAGTTTTTCTGATATGATAATGGTTAAGAATTAAATAATACAATTGATAATTTATAGATAAATAATAATGAGTAATAGTAAAGGTAATATATTACAATTTTGGATGTTCTTAAAAGAAGATACTTTATTATTTACAATTTTATTATAGTCAGTTACAGTGATTATACTGATGATTTTTTTATTTCAAAAATTATATATATATATATAATTTTATAATTGATATTATTACATTCCAAGAACAATTAGTTTTAAAATAAAGCATTGAATATTACAATAATTTTACATTAAAATACATGTATCAACTACGTTTTTATAAATAAACTTAATGTTGAAATATTATTTTAAATAAAATAAAAATTACTTAATTATGCATGGTCCTAATTTATGCATTATAATATCAACTGTTGCATCCAAGCAATTTCCTGATTGCATTATATGATTGGAACATTCTTCTAATTTAATAGACTTAAATAAATGATATAATGTTTTATGAGCAACTCTAAAACAAATTAAAGTTTAAAATTAACAAAATCAAAAGGGATTAAAAACTAAAAATTTTAAAAACAAATGTGTATTACTTGGCAGGATTAATATCATATGCTTCTTTAAAAGACACAAATAAATTCTTATTAGTTCCTCTTATAGGTGAGCCAACATCAATCAACGCAGAAAAAGTCAAAAATACAACATTAAAAAGTTTTGGAAATAAATTTATCACTGAATCGTAAGAAATTTGTTTTAAAATTTCATTTAAACCACTAAGTGCCTGAAAAAAAAATATAAAATATATAAAATTTAATTATAATAATAACATAAAATTTTATAGAAATAGATAAATGCTGTTTAAGTATACACAAATTAATATTGATTATTAATAAACATATTTTATGCATATGTAATATTTAGGTTCTTACAGGTATAAATGATACAATTTTAATCTTATATTTATACAATTTATGTTAAAAAATATAAATCATTAAAAATAAAAAATACTCCGATGAAACTTACTGAAATAGGAATTAGTGAAGCAATTGGTTTGTTTAGGAACTGTTTAGTACTTGTATCATACAATGGTGTTAATGTAATAAATTCTATAAGTGTATCTATAATCTGAGAACACATTTGATCTTTCCCTAAAGATTGCCAAATAGCACAAACAGTCCTGAAATGAATAAGTATTAAATTATACTATATAAAAAAAATGTAATACAAAATTAAAAGATAATTTTCAAAATAATTCATAAGTATAAAACTATGTTAACACTACATATATTATTTGATTATGTACCTAAATATTTTTTATCACGAAGTATACTTTACAATAATTAATTAATAACTAAGATAAAATTATAAAATAAAATTGAAATGTATTAAAAAAATAAATTATACAAATATTTAAATTTAAATAAATAAATAGAAATAAGTAGTTCTACTTGTTTTAAGAAATATACCTGAATTATTCAATCAAATTGAAAAACATATAATTAAATAAATATATTTATTTTTACTAAACATAATTAGAAATAACATACAAGAATACTATTAGGATAGGCAAACCAATGATGTACATGGCAATCATTGAATCATAAACTTATGTAATAATGTTAATTTAAAAATAATATTTAAATTAATTATAATTAATAAAGATTAATAAATAAGCTTAGCATTTTAATAACACTAAAAATTGATAACTTACGTATTAAATGGCAGGCTTTGATTAATAAGTAATTCAATAAAATCAGATTGAATAAACTTTCCAAAAGTAATCAATGCTTTTATATTATTTGCCTTAATGATATCATTTGAGTTTTCAAGTTCTTTAACTAAGTAATCTGTAAAAATAAAATAAAATTGAACCTAACATGTATGTTATTTTACAAACAAATCTTAACACAACCAATATATGATTTTAATTTCTACCTAATATAATAAATATTTAAAATAGTACACATAGTTTTAAAAATTTTATAATATCTTTCTTGGGATAAAAAAAAATTATAAAAAATAATAAATTTACATGTTAAATAAAATAAAAACTGAACAAATACATAGCACATAATATAATATCGTACTTAAAATTTCATTGCAGGCCTTCTGATTAAGTTGTTGAGCAACGATTGGGAATAATATATTTAATATTTCACTAGTTTTGAATTGGCATTTTTCTTCATGGTCATTTAAACCATCAATTAATAACTTACAAAACACAGGTAAATCTGATGGTTTTAATATTTTGTGTATAGCCTAAAAAATTCTCAGTTGAAAAATATATTTATAATACATTATTTTTATAATACCTCCAAAAGTTTACTACACGATTCGGGTTTATTGCTATATAATATTTTATCCATGAATTCAGATTCATTTATATAACTTTCAGTAAAAGTTCCTTTGTATACAGCAGTTATTTTAAGTAAAACATCCAAACATTTAAAAACATTAAGTCTTATTTTTAGATCAGGCTCAGCAATACGCACACACATTTTAGCAAATAAAGGCGCAGGAGAATTCAAACAAATTGGAAGCTAGAATAAACATATTTAAATTAAATTTACTTGATACATTACAATAATAATATAATAATAAATTAATAAATACTTTTGTTAATTGAGAATTACTATGGCTATAATAGCAATTCAAAACACTTTGGAGTAAATAAACTGCAATAAATCTTTGATGTTTCTTTTGTGATACTATGTACGGGTCTAATATTAAAATAATTTCATCGACTACTTCAAAGGATCCACTTCTGATTACAAGCAATTGATCAAGAATTTTACCTAAAAACCAAATTATAATTTTGTTTGCAATAGCATTAAAAAAAATATACTAAAAAAGATGAATTTATTTCCTTACATAGATGTCCCAATGTTAATGTTGTTTGTGGACTATCAGTATCTACAATCTCCGATGATGATAGAAGAAAAATTTTTTCAACGCAATTTGTTATAATGTATGATCTTGTACTTAAATCTATAGGTTCAATGTGTGGGACTGGTTTACTGTTAATAAATTTCATGAAAAATAAAACATAATATAGTTTGATTTCACCTTTAAATCAATATCACAAATTAGGTATATCAATAATATCAAATAATTATAAAAAAATTTTACATGTAAGATGCCAAAACTTGATAATATATATAATCTGATAGTAAATTTGAGTTTAAAATTTGATGTACTAAGTTTTTAATGACTGTATCACGAATAATTGCTAAATTTGGAATAGTGTCACTGATTTCAACATTACTCATAACATCTGCTAAGGCTTGGAGACACTGAACTAATGATTTTTTAGTTTCCAAATTCTTTAAAAAAAAAAAAAAATAAAATAAAAAATAAAATAAAAAATAAAATAAATTACAATATTTTTAAAGAAATGTGGTAAAAATAAATATATACCTTTGTTAAAGTAATTTGATGAGTAATCAATATTACAATATCATACATGCTGTAAATAACACTTTGAAGCTTTCCACTCTTCACTACATCAGGTATTATAATGGAAATTGCAGATCGAATTTTATCTCTGTTCACTTCATTACCTTTGTCCCTAATAAGGACTAAAAATTTATTTGGCTGTTTGGTTAATTCGGATTTGGTAAATTCTAATAATTTGTTCAGCACTATTCCAGTGTGAGCTTGGCTTAAAACACCAATAGCTCTAGAAAATTCCTATTAAATAAATATAAAATAGAATTTTAAAACTTACAATAACAATAATAAAATATAAAAATGATTATGTGATATGATTACATTAATTTTACAACTACACATAATTTATAATAAAAAAAATATATATATTTTGTTAAAATACTTAATTATTTTGATTATTAGTTCATAAACTTAAAAAAAAAAAATTCTTATCTTACTCAAAAATAATAATTTAAACTAATACAAAAAAAAAAAAAATAATGTATAATTGCATGAGTACTGTTGGCAAATAATCGTTTAACTTACGTGACTATTTTCAAATGACATTTTTAAGAGAGTTTGAAAAATGAAATATAATAGTTTTTTTGTGAGTAATAATTCTTCAGAATCAAAGTAAGCAGCTATGTATGATATTATTTTGACCATTAAAAACATATCTGAAGAGAATATTTTTGTATTTTCAGTAATTTTTATTAGTTCATCAAAAAGTTGTCCAATTAATGCTAAACACCAATGTTTATTAAGTGTACATTCATCTAATATAATGCTGAGTCTACTTAGTAGAACAATTTCCCATTCTTTTTCACTTTTTTCAATTGCAGCTGTTTCATAAAATTGAACATTATTTAACAAAACAGTTTTATTATTTATATATCAAATGTAAATTGTATTTTTATTTTTATACATACAATCCAAAAAATTTGTCAAGATCTCAGCATGTTTTGTCCAAAACTCTTTTTCATTGTCTGATAAGTCATGAGAACCATAATTCAATAGAAAATGTACAACATAACTGCCCCTGTTATCTTTGAATGGTTGACATAACAAAAAAAGACATCTCACAACTATAAAATTGTGTTCTTTTTCAAACCTTATAGATCCTAGAATTTAATTTCTTTTTAAATTATTCAATACATTCAAGTAAAATTAACTAAATAAATAATAAGTAATAATTTTTAAATAAGAACTCTTGTTTTCTTATAATTTTACATACATTCTTCAAAATTTAATTTTAAATATAATACACATAATGGTTAAATATTAATAAATAATTAAAAGCCAGTTTATTCACAGAGACATATAGTTTTACAGATCCAAAAAATTGTATGAGCCTAAAGAATATTAAAAAGTATTGTCTCATAAATTATTAAATTTAATATGCAGATATTAATTGGATACATTAAGATACTATTTTATAATATTAAAGACTTAAAAATAGTAAATTACCATTTAATTATATTACATACAAAATTTACAATTTTATTTCAACTTACTACTCAAATATGGTAACAATAATAGGTATAGAAATACTGCAGTAGATGTTATTTGCCAAGACTTAATTTTGTTAAAAATAACAGTAAAATATCTGATTTACATTTTTCAAATTCTATATTATATTCTTTTAATATTATATAGATAACAAAAAATTAAAAGGAAAAAGTAAATAATATAAAATTATATTTGTACAAAACTAGTAAAGGCAAATATTTTATTAAATATTCAATATTTTAACATAATTATATTAATTAGCCTACTTACTTAAATGTGATTTGGTAGCCATGTGTGCCAATGACCGTGTAATTGACGGTACAGCATTTTCATATTCATTACTTTGTAAAAATGTTAATAACTTATTCCAACATAACACTTGTACCGGTTCTATAGATGTACAAAGAATATAAATTGCATCTTCACAAGTTTGTTTTATTAAAATCCCATCATTATCACTAGAATATTTATTCTAAAACAATAAAATATTTTATTTAACTAAAAAAAGGTATAGAAATTAATAATCTAAATTTCCTTTTATAGTATATAATGCATAGATGAATATTGTTTTTGAATTCTGCATATTAGGTTTCCTCTAATATATTATTAAATAACATTGTTTTGTATGCAAAGAATTGTTTAGGAGATTTATCAATGTGGCTTCTGGAAAAACTGATAAATCATAAAACAGCTATCCATAATTAATGGAATAGTGGAAAAGAATACAATATTGGTAAAATATGTGGCAAATATTTATAGATTTTAATAAAACTAGTGATAATGTCCACAGAGAGTTTTTATAATATAACGCATAAGTTCAGTTTTTTGAAAAATTAATTGGACTAACTGAAATGTGTAAAAAAACATTTTACTTCAAAGCAAAATTAAATAATCTATAAATAGCCTTTATGCATATTTTTAAATCTATAGTATATTAGTAATCAGTAATCAATACTTAATAGGAAATATTAAAATCTTTGAATTTCTTTTTAAAATATCATCTTTAACTTATTTTAACTTTTTAAAGAGCAAAAAATTATTCTTATTCTTATTTATCACATTTAAGATAATATGTTGCTTGTATTATTATTGAAATAAATTACCTAATAATTATGATTTATATGTATGCAATGACAACATTTTGTGACATGTAGGACTGGTTGTCAGACATACAGTAATACAGTAATAATCCGCTTATATAACTTTTATCATGTAATAATTAAATTATTTAAATTTTTTTATAGGTAGTACATTTTGTTATTTTAACACCTAAGGCTTGATTTGTATAATATTTAGGTTTTAATTAATATAAATAAAGTATAAATCTTCATTCTTCAAACACATAATGGATTCAAAACATTTTATACATGTAACCAACATTCGACTTAAGTCATCAGTTTATCAATTACTAAATAAAATGCTTTAAATTTTTAACAATGAATACTTCACACATTTGCTGAATCAATAAAACTATGGCAACACTTTAGACATGTCATAAAATTAATAAGAATTAGTGAATACTAGCATCTTTAAAAAAAAAAAATATGTTGTTATACTAGAAGAGTAAATAAAATATACTTTAATTATCACACAAGACATACTATTATGATTTAAGATATTAAGTAATAAATAAAATGTATTATAATTAAATATACTAGACAATGATAATATCAATCTTAGATTCAAATATCAATATTGGAAAAAATATTAGACTACTTTAATTTTATACTTTGTATTAGTATATAAAATTCATTTTTTTAAAATATGTAAAATATGATTATACTAAATAATTTAACTTACGTTTGATGGACCATAATAACAAATATTTTTGATCAAAAACTCAATAAAATAATCATCCTTTTCAGTTAAATGTCCTTGATATGCAAAACATATAAAAATTTTTACTAATAAGTTCTTCATCTGAAAATGAATTATTTAAAAATAATTAAATTACAATAAATTTAATCATTATATAATTTTTAATAAATACCTGAAATGAGCAATTGTTTTTTAGCAGATCATACAAAATTGGAATAATTTCTGAAGATTTTAGTTTAATACTCTGGTTGGAGGCATTTAATAAATGTGATGCAATCAATAAAGCACCCATTCTCCCTTGTTCGGAATTAGATTTAAGATCTCGTAATATCAGTTCACATATTTTGTCACCAAAATGTTTACCTGAATTATAAATATACGTTTAACTTATCAATATTATAGAATATTTTTTGAAATAATAATTTTATGTTTAATATAAACAATTTTATTTGATGAAAGTATTTGTTTATAATATTTATATTTATAGTTTTAATGTAATGATTATTGTTATTAAACTGTACTATTAAAAAATATTGTTCTGTAAAAATGTAAAACAAAAAAGTTATATTCAGTTTATTATTCTTGTATTATCTTAATTTTAGTTTGTAACATTCTTTTTATTTTAAATTTTAAAACATAATTTAAGACCATATTTTATAATATTCATGAAAATGCAAGTTTTAAGTATTTATATTTTTTTATATTAATATCCTAAAATTTTTTATAATTATAACTATAACTGAAATTTTCAAGTGTGTAATTGATAAACTTTAAAATAAATGTTATTATTTTAATATAAAATAAAATATTATAAATTAGTATCAGAACATAGTATTAAAACACGAAAATATTATTGATTTCATGTTTAACTATACATATTTATATACATTATTAATATAATAAAATATAAATTAAAACTGTTCACTAATTTACCAAACAACATGATAAAATAATACCTAAATAAGTGTAACATCTTAGAACTTCGGAATGATTTTTAATGGACATTGGAAAATCATAATCTGGCATTACAATAACCTGCAAATAAATTCATTTTTAGATTAAGATAAATTAAGTATACTTTTAGAATAACTATATTTACCATTTCATGTAATATTGAAAAAAGATTATCTATTACTGGTTCTAGCATGATTTCTGATACTACAGATAAAAAACTTGCCAAGTACTGTGAAACCCAATATCGAGACATACCGATAGATAGACATTTTTTATACAAACTCAGTATATTTGTCAAAATTACTATACAATCTCTATTTAACGTTTCTATGCTCATTAGCATAACAATTGAGCTTAATGCTTCAAGAATGTTTTCAATCAGCTGAAAAATAAATTTAAAAAATAAATATTTTATGGATTAAACATTTAAAAATTATAGAAAATCATAGTTTAAAAAACTATAATGCAGAAAATTAAACTTTTAAAGTCAATAAATAGAACAGAAAAAAAACATCAATATTCAAAAGATTATTATTAGAATTGTTATTACCTATTATTAATTATATTAAATCATACAAAATTATAGTTTGAATTCAATTATAAGCAATACACAATAATGAAATACAATTTAAAATAACACTTGTACTTTATTAAAATTGATAAATTATGTTTTATATCGACTATATCTATATATTATACTCTAAATATCTTTTGAACACTTATATATTTCAATAACATGAAGCTCAACGTCTCAACTTATTTATAGTCTAAAAAAAATATATTTATAGCATTAAATAAGAAAAAAAGTTTAATAATGACCTTTATATCCTTGGAAATTAACCAAACATCATTAATAATTTTGTATATTTCTTCTAATTTTGGTGATAAATTTTGTTTGATTACATCTATATCTGATGGTTCACATTCAATAACAGATGCACAAACTTGACCAATCGCTAAAATAAAATTAATATTATGGTTAAGATATAAGTTTTATTATTTGTGTTAAATTAAATTAAACAATTTTAGTTCAGTAGCAATTAATGATATTCAATTTAATCTTATAATTAGAACATTTTAAAGAATTATCAAAATATACATAATATATACAAAAAAATAAATTAATAAGTTCAAAATAACCACTTAGTTATTAATTTATTGGTCATAATAGCAACTTTTTAACAATCTTCAAATATATTTAATCGTTTAATTTGCAATCACTTAATACTATAGTATAATACACAATATATAAAATGTAATTAATAAATAAAAATATTACAAACCTGTGCCATAAATTTTACGCAAAGCATCTGACTTGGTTAGAAGTAAAATCGAGCAAATTGCTGATAAGAATGGATCAACAAAGTTAATAAATTTAAGAGGGTGATTTGAAGCAAGATGTCCCAAAGAATATATAATAGAAGGATGTGGAGGAATGCCTTCTTTTAAATGAGACATAAGGTTTTGTATAATCTATAGACAGAAAATTCAATATTATTAGTCGACTATACTCTTTCCACAATAAGAATGTAACATGTGATAGCCCTACCAATTAGTTTATATTTAGAATTACTCCAAAATTCTACTTCAAACTAATAGTTAATATGTGGTGACAATATTATAGGAGAAAAAACTATTTAAAGTGTATAAAATGGTTACATATTCAGTGTAGATAGAGTATAACACAATATATCTAGATTAGTAATAACAGTAGAATATACATTTGATAGAACCCCAAAATATTTTACAAATAGAACCGAATCACATGAGTTATATTTTTTTGGAAACACAAATGCATATATTTGACAAATAACAAATTAATCGCTTACTATAACATAATTTTGTGCCAAATAAGCATCAATATTTTAAAATTTAAAGTTATACATTTTTAAAAATAACAATAAAAATTTGCCAAATTAAAAAAAATTATCAATGTTTTAAGGGTAAAAAATAATTAATGTTCATAGTATTAAGTATTAAGTTGTAATTGAGGTATATAATTTGAAAATTACATAAATCAAGATTATTTTTATTTCCCTTGTGATTTAAGTTATCAAAACTTGACTATACTACTTTTTATGTTTGTGAGTGTTATAAAATTTGAATTTTGTGTAATTTTATCCAACTTTCTGCATAGTTTGCTATTTTATAAATTTATTTTATTTTTTAATTGTTTATAAAAATAAATATTATATAATAATTAGGCAATACTAAATAAAAATAAAATCAATTTAAAATAACTAATTGTGTTATTAAAAATGTATTATTAATAAGCACCACACACAAACATATTCTACCCACACATTTTACCTGATCAGATCTTCCTCGGCCTAAAATGATCAACATATCTGATGCAGGAAACTGAGAGTCTGAAGATTTAAACATTTCGTTAGTGGCAAATTGAACTAAATTATTTGTAAGCTCTTCATCAAAATCATCATAGTGGTTTTCACAAAGTTGTTTCATAGCAGATAATAAGCTTTTAGATTCAACAATACTTAACTGAAAATAATACCAACAACAAGTTTAAATGAAACATCTATGTTTTTGTGATACTTGAATTATAAAAATTAATATGATATTATAAATAATTAAACAGTATATTAATAAACTTTTTACATTACTGTTTTATGACTTCACAAAGATTTTTGATATAATATAAAATTAAATTAATTTGATAACTATATTTATTTAAACAAATATTATAATTACTGAATTTTGAAGTTTATAATGTATCATATTTTGAACGATTTGTGTGGAGTGAGATTTTGATAAGGTTTGAAGAGACGCAACAACTGAATTCAATACCATTTCATCTCTTTCTTCAGTTATCATATGAAGTAAACGGTCAATAGTACCTAATAAGAATACAAATTATGAATATTTTTTCCAAAAAAACAAAAAGAAAATATCAGTGTCTTTAGGATAGTGCAATATCTTAAAATATAACAACATCTAGCAATCATATACCAAGTGGAAAGAAATTTAACAACTATAGTAAAACCTGTCTTATCCAGAACCCGTTTAACGTAAAACTGAAAGCTATTTTTTGGTCTTGTAAATCATATACACCTTAACAAATGAAAAAACATAAAATGAAAAAAAATATTTTTTATACTCACATTTATTTTACTATTAAACAATTATTAAGGTCAGTATGTAATATGTATTGATAGATAACTATATTTTATCTTGAATCTAAATAATCAGTGCTTATTATTGTCATACCAAAGTCAAAGTTTTCTAGTCGTTTCATCTCGTTTTACTTGTTCTCAGAATGTCTTCAAAGATTTGTTTAAGTTTAAATGAAAAAATTAAAGTTATAGAAGAAAATGAAAAAAGAAATAGCAATAAATCATTAATTAATATTTTTAAATGCGAAAAAACCAATTGAAAACATGCAAGGAAACACTAATTTATATCAAGAATCTAGAACAATTTTCAATGAATAAATATGATAGTGAGTTATTGGAAATTATATCAAGAGTAAAAATACAAATTGAAAAAAGCATTGTTAAAGAAAACACCAGAAAAAAAACTTTTAAATTTTTAATTGTCATTTAACCTGCTTACTTTATTTCATTATATCATATACCTACTAAATAAGTTCTTTAAATTATTAAATTAATTTTAAACTTTTAATCTATCATTATTTTGAAATATCTAATTAATACATATCATGTAATTGTTCACTAAAAATTAAAATTTATTGTAGCCCATGATATTTATTAATTTTCAATATTTCTATTTTTATTATTGGCCGGAAAATGTTAAAACTTTAATTATGCAGAATATTGTAACTCTATAGTACAGAAATTCTCTTTTTATTCAGTTATATGAAAACCTGCTTAAAACAGAAATTTTTATTGGCAGGTACCGTGCAATTCTGCACAAGACAAATTTTATTGTATCTCTTTCCTCGACTCTACAGGAAACGAAAAACATCCTGAGTAGGTACAGAAAAAATTTAATTAGATTTGAAAAAACCCTCTGGATGAAATTGCTGTGCAAAACGTCCATTGAATCCCAACAAACTAAATCCAGAAAAAAAAAACAAGCAAACAAAACGTCAGACGATAGATTTTGTGTGTAAACGTTTAAGAAACTGCTAATCTTATAGGGCACTCCGGTATCATCGGTGTTTCGAAATCCGACATAACTATAATCTAACTCCAAAGGAGGCGCTTAGGTAGTAGTTTACGCGGCAGATGGCAGGTGACGATCATAAAAATGGATAATATGTACCAGATTGCTAGGTGCCTATTGTAATGATGCGAGAGATGACGGGACACTCACTCTGCATGCTGAGGTTTCGGTCTACACCGGCGTCGTTCCGAGCTGCTTCCTCCATGGCTAGTGTACGTCACGGACGAAACCAGTGCGCGACAGATGGACCGGAAAAGCGACGCGAACAAAGAAGGTAAACTGGGCACACGACGCGCGTCCGGGCCCTACGGCTGGCGGACGACGGGAAAACCGTGGAGAAGGACCGCTCACTACCTACTGACGCCGAGTGCGAGTGTCGCGTACGCGGCGTGACGGCTGACGTACGGCGGCGCGGTGTCGTCTCGACAACGACTGTACCGGGCGACCACCGATCGCCGGAAACATAAATCGTAACGCGCGCGCGCGCCGTGACTGGTCGTCCCACGACACCGCCGCAGCCGAGACCGCGCGTACGGTTTTTCCGAGCTTTTCCGCCCGAAACGACTATGTACGGCGGCGCACGCCTACGGACGTCTCTTGGATATTTCCCGTGACGACCACCGCCACGGCAATGGGTAACGGTCTATTTGTGTATGGGCAAATGGGTTTACTTATTTGGCGACTCTTTTGCGCGCACGAGACCGCGAAGATTCTGTTTTGTCGACGAAGCCGCAACGGATTTGCAATTTGCATAACACGCCGACGAGGAGTCGGCTCTCGGTGACGACGATAACGCTGCGCGTGTTCTACAGCGTTTCACGCCACTATCTCGCACGATCAGTGATACGAGTGACGTACGACGTACGACTGATATTTTTTTCGTTTTTTGACCAACGATGATAAGGGGATACGCACGACCGGCCACTTGTCGCGCGAACCGTCTGTGATAACCGGCCTCCAATAGCCCCCAATCGTTTCGTTAATAATTACAATAATAATAATAATAATATTGTGAAATTACAACGTACAGCGTTAATTAATAACAACTATTAAAAGATTTCTCTGTAGAATAACATTACGGTCTGGCACCGAAATTTATTACCGCTGCGAGAATATTATTTTTCAACAGTTTCTGCGTAATAAAACCGTATATCACGCTCCAAATCCACAAAACTGATATCGGTATCGTCACAATATATAATAATAATAACATGCGACAAACGGGCGGGACGTAGGTGTCGAGCGTGGGAAACCTATAAAATATAAAGTCGTCTTCGCGTGCACGCCATTTTAACAATAATAATTTATTATTATTATCGTTGTCGTATATCTGTATCAGCTATCAGCCACCAGCGAATGGTATAATAACTATAATAAGCCACCTACGCGCGATCACGTATAAATGTAGTTTTTTTTTTAGTATAAATATTTACACTATCAGTCATTCGTTTGTACTTTGTTACGTAAATTACATTCGAGTTCAGCATTCTGGGAAATTAAATCATTATGTGTAGGTACCGTATTTTATAATTTATTTTACACACAAATCAGAAGGTATCAAACACGCACGCGCTCATACACTGTGCGTATTATGTAATCGGAAAAACATTCATCTACTGCTCGATGTGTGTTGTAGTTGTACTAACAGACAATAGTATGAGTTACCTACGTATATACTGAATAACCAATAATCATTATTTGGGCCAATTTATTCTTTGGATTAATGGCGATGGTAGGAACATTATTTAGAAAAAATTCAATCGATGGCCAATTGTTATTAATAGGTATTTTTTTTCATAGATGTCTAAATAAATAATAAGTAATAAATAATAAATAATAATATTTTTTTGTTTATTATACAATTTTTTTAAACATTTATAATCCAATGTCAGTAAATAGTGAGATCAAAACATGTTCAAATTTTTTTTAATACGATTAAATATTTGCTTATTTACTATTAAATCCTATATTTATATTATAGTGTTATATGTATATTTTAATATTATTATAAATTGCAAATTCGCATGATAATTTGTAGTGATCCTTCAAAAACGGTTCTGAATTCTAATTCGTATTTGAATAAAAAAAAAATGTAATTGGGTCTTTCTCTTCTAATTTTAAAGGATTGAACGTATTACCACTTCAATAATAATACAAAAACCAATTTTGAATTTAAAAAAAAAATCAAAATTTTTCGATGACTTACATAATATTCGAAAATACTTTTAAATAAAATATTAAACTCTTAAAATACTTTAATAAAAAAGTATTTTATCTGAAATAAAAAAATTACTAAGTTTATTAAAAAAAAAAATTTTTTAAATATAATATTTTCGGATATTTTATGCATTTTCTTTTTTCTTTCTTAAAAAAATGATAAATTTATAAAAGAATACTATAATTTTTTATAAAAATGAATTACCTAGATATATGTTTCTGTCAAAAATATATTAATTTTCTGGGTCTTGTAATTTTTAATTCTTGTCTCTTTGTTTATTTTTATATTAGAAATATTTTTAATGGTAATATTAACCATCAATGTATTATTGAAAGATTTGTAATATACTGAAATCAATGTATAATATATAATATATTATTATTTAATAAATTAGGTTAGAATTTTAAAATTTAATTTAATTTTTGGTTATATTCTTTTTTTTTTTGTATCATTTATTTATTTGACATTTTTTACTTATTTATGTAATTTGCATTAATTATTAGTTGACAATACTTTACCTCAATCGCGATGAATGTGTTGGTTTTATAATAATGGTTTTTTTTGTGTCATTACCTTTTGGAATAGTAATAATACTTCAAGTTTCAAATTTGAGGTTGATTTATGATAGAAAATCAGATCTAATCAGTACTTCAACAAATTATAAGTATTATAACATTCATAACTTAATTTCTTAGTCAAGAAAATGTGTAAAAACAATTACAACAAAACAGATATATTTAGTATTTGCACAACAAATTCTGTTATTTTTTATAATTCAAAAATGAATATTTTTTAACCATTTAAAAAAATAACTAATACTTTAAATTTCCTACAAATATTCGTAGAAACATTTTATAGATGAATATCAAGGTTGACAATTTTTTGAGTGAAAAAAGATTGAAAATGTAATATTAAGTCCGTCAAAAGTTGTTCTCACTGAAATTATTAATAAAATATATAGACATTTATTTTTTAAGAACGTTTAAAATTCAAGTATGGAAAAACGTAAAAAATTTTTCTCTAAATTTTTTCTATTTATAGGCTGTTAAATTTCCAAAATATTTCATCTAATTAAAATCTACAAATAAAACATTTTAAATGATTCAATGTTTTTCATTTTTACTATAAATTCAAAAAATGTATCTCTAATAAAAAAAACTTTAAATATAAAAAAAATTTGTTGGGTTCCATCACTGGTTAGCCTCCCTCTTCATATCATTTAAGTTAAGCATGTACATAAATTATCCAATTTACTTATTGTGATGTTAAACACAGATTGTAAATATCATTTATTTTAATAAAAAAAAAATATATATATATATTTATATATGTTTTACTTGAATGCAATTTAAAAATATTAAACATTCATAGGTAATTTTAACTATTGGTTATGAAATGTGACATTCATAATTATTCTTATTATTTTAAAATATAAATAGTAATTGGAAAAACAGAAACATTACCTAAGTAGGTAATAAACTACAATAGATTGCTAATTGCTATATAATTACTCTTTAAATTAATGAAGCTGTCATTTTTCATCATTTTTGTGAGAATTAGAGTATTATCAATTACAGATGTGTATATAAATATTTATAAACACATATTTTTTTGATAATAAGTAAGTAATAGCGCAGAAATGCCTTAATACTCCATAAAACCCTTAATTTTCATAAGAATGGCGAATTTTCGACTTAAATTACTATCATAAGTTGACGATCTAGTTTATTATTTATATCTGTGATCACTGATCACTGATCGAAAATATGATAGCTTCCATCAAGTATTAATATATAAATATAATAAATTATAATCGATAGTTACTAATACACCATGCGTTGACTTGACTGTAGGTATTTATTGCTGCTTGCAATTTTAAAATAAAAACATTAATCGGAAATGAGATGGAATTTGATCAGAAAAAAATATAATGCAGAGTTAAATTTTTTATAAGTAATTAAAAATATTGACATTAATCAAGTTAAAATAGATTTATGTATTTATTTTTTAAATTAAATTCTGACAACCTAAATAATTTTTGAACCTTCAGTTGATTTGATATAATGTTTCAAGAATAAAACTTAATATGAAGTTAAGATCCATTCGGGAATGTAGAAATATATATAACAGTTTTAAAAAATAGAATAAACATACCATCTATTCTATTCACAATTTATTTAGAACATGCGTTGAGGTAAAAGTCAAAATTAATCAGTTGAAGTAACCAAACCAAAAACTATTATTTTTCATTTGTATAGCTATATATAGCTTAAATTATATTTCTATTGTTTGGGGTCATTGTTTGACATTTAAATTTTTTTCGTGATTTCACAACGATGTATGTCTGTCTTTTTTATTTTTAGAGCAGTAAAGATAAAAAAATAAGCCAATAAAATATAAACGTAAATACTTACAATGACGTGAATTGAGGTGTTGTAATTATAGAATAGCACTTTTAATACCAAAACATTTTTAGGTGTTGCAAAAGTATTGTTTCACAATACTACATGCACATATATTGTTATTTTATTTCTATTTAATTTTTTAATCTGATTTTGTTAGAAATTTTGGAAGTTTTTCACTTTGAACTGGATATAAATTATTTAGGAAACAAAATCCATCCATGCTTATTTAAATTAATTTATTATAACATTACGTAATATACTCGTTATATAATATTAGAGTACAGGACCTATTATAAATATATCATGAAGGACCCCTTATAACAAAAACCATAATTGTACTAACTGACCAGTATAATGAGACACAATTTATGTATAATTTTTTTATAATACTCGACTAAGGCGTGATCCGATATGTACTGAACAACTTTAAGAGGACACTACGACTACGTGCATCAATGTATTGTGTTAAGTCTTGTAGTCCACTATTTGATGTTTTGGTGATCCTTTTCGTAAAGTATATGATGAATAGTAATAATAATAAATATTTTATTTTTTGTAACCAATTGCAACAATTTAATAAAACAAAAAAATGATAAGTTTTTATGAGTCAGCTAAATTCAAACTTAATGTATTGAAGAGTAAAAAGTAATAGAATAGTAATAGAAAGTAACCTATGACACTAAAAATTACGGCGAATCTCTGACGAGCATTTTATAAAAATCGGTCGAAAACTACTGATTTGCATAGGGTCATTCGTTGTATGCCATTAATTTTATATAGTTATTATATTTATATTATTACTAGTTAATATTTTAGGACGTTTTCTGTGAACAATTAAATAATAGCAGTAGGTTTACTTAGTTAAATGTAAACTATAGGTTTTAATAAAATATAGCTTTAAAATCATATTTAATAATATAATAATTAGTTTATTTTCTAACTAACTGTAACTAATGAAAACCTCAACAAATAAACAAATATCTGTTTTTCAAAAGTTAACAAATCCCAATACGAACTACGAAAGTGTAAAATGTAAAAATTTGAAGTACATACAAACCTTAGGCTATAAGTTACCTATTAACCAAATATTAGAATCATAAGTTCGATGAACTTAGCTGCGGATGGTTTACACAGATATAGCTTTTTTGTTTACAATTATTTATCATAGAATTTAAATTTAATCCTATCTGTTACATTGGTCTATACTCTATACGATGGGCAATTTTGAATTACATTCAAAACCTATATTATACAACAAAATCGCTGAAATCTGTTCCGCCTATAGTTCTTTTGTTTTCAAAGCGCTAAAGTTTTTAATACCTGTGTCTTTGTAGTCTTTAGATTACCTATGCTATAGATTTGTAGGAATGATGTCTGATATTTGTTCATTAGATGTTTCCACATTGGAAATTGTATTATTTGAACAATTTTTTTTTTAAACTTAAAGGGTTAGTTGGTAATTTATCGTACGTACACTTTTTAACTTGACTAAATAAGTGTTTTGAAATAATATTCTGTGCTGTATTTTTCTTTGTCATATAATACATTTTTATAAAATATAAAATGTATTTTTATAATGTATCGTAAAAGTGTTTAAGTTGTTTATTTATTTTTATCTTTCATATAGTATTAAAAATAGTAATAATATTTTAAATGTATCCGTGATTATCTATACATGATTTTCCGAGAGATTTTAACTTATAAATTATAATAGAATCATCTCCTTGTAAAATTAATTTTTTTTTAATAAACTTCACGTTGTCAATCGATAATTTTTTCGTGGAATATGAATAATAATAGTTTTCAGTAAAACTATACTTGAGAAACTGAATAAGTACAGAATTGTAATAGTACATAATTATATTATGTTACATTATGCATTTTGTTGAACTGTAAAGGATATATTAGAAGTATAATTACTATGTCAACAGAAAAATTGAAAGATAATTCTGATCGGAGTTGTTTAACAAAATTTTTTTTTTTAAACAGATACTCGCCCACTTACATTTATTCTTGAAATGCTTTTTTAAAATACTTTTACAATCTACCTTGTAAACATTCATTACCTATGTATTTCATTCTATCATTAAAAATCTATGTATAAATATAAATATTATTTTAACAACGAGCACTTATTTTTTCTGAAAATTATTTCAGTTACAAAATTCAATTATATTTTTATCACTGTTGTTCAGTTAATTTGTTACAATTTATAAGTATTTAAAGTTTAGATGAGCGGAATGAAGGGGCACAAGACTACACTCATCAAAACTATTAATAAGTATAACTTATAACTTAACTATCTATGACATTTTAATACATGACATGCCATTTCTCAGAAAAATATTTCATTTTGAAATATGAAATTTATAACAGTTTTTAAAAAAGTAAGAAATTTAAAAAAATGTTAACGATCAAATACATATACATATATGTATTCACAACATAATTTTGTAATTACTCAACAAAAGAAAAAATAAAGATTTTTAAAAAAAAATATTGATATTTTTTGAGATGATGAGATAATGTTTATTCTTGAAAGAATCTCTTTTGTAGTACCTACATTAAGCTATTTCACAAAGGAATGTCATGTAAATTTTTTTTTGGTTTTTATAAGTTCTCAACAACAATAAGTACTCAATATTTTGGAAAACCACTAATAATATTTTTATTCATAATTTTTTTTTTTTAAATAAAATAAATTTAAAAACTTTTTATTCAATTAAATAATTTATTTTGATTAATATATAAAAATATTTGAATATTTTTATCATGTACACTACAAAGTTTAGAATATTATGTTATAATACTGCAGGAATAAATGGTACTTTAAACTTTAAAATAGATTTTACGGTCTACACGATATTTGATAGTAAAGTTAAACTTTGGAGTATAAATATACAATAATTAATAGACATATTGAAAAATCATACTGTATTTTCAAGTAATTCAACATGGTAATTTTATAAAAAAATAAAATAAAATAATGTAGTATTAACATAAAAATTAAAAGCACACATTTTTAAATTTTAGATTTCTAAATTTCTGTATAGTAAAATTCATTCAATCATTTATATTATGATACATTTTAAACGTGGAAAAATGGTAATAATCAATATTATTAAGTATGAAAAAGATTATGAAACATAAAATACAGAGTGAGTCACGGTGTTTTCCTGTTATCAAATATAGTTAACATTAGAAAACACGAAAGCACAGTGGACCACTCCATTGTTTTAACAATTTAAATCATAAATGATAAAAACAGAAATAGGTAGCCTATATTGATGAAATAAAAAAAAAATATATAATATTGTATTGCTACAATAGTATCTTATTAATGCTAATATGTATAGGCAACAGCCGAATAGATCAGACCTAAATGTCTCAAATCTTAAAATTAATTACAACACATACTTATAGTATATAAATATATAATATAATATAGTTTCAATGAAAATATTTTATTTTAATTATTCATTGAAGTTAGCGATGAATGACGAATGTACAAGAACGATACCTAAAAACGATACAGTGTAAACACATACTTAACGTTTAAAACATTGATCGTTGGTTAACAAAATGAACACGATTTTTTATTCTCCGCATTAGGACTGGAGAGTTTTACGAGTTCCGGTTGATCGGTTTCGTCGTTGTACTGTCCCAACATCGAATTGATTAAAAATCTAGAAAAAAATCATATGTATGTTTTAGTCAAAGTTTTGGAAGAGAAGACCAAAAAATTAACTTACTGCATAGAATCGTTAACCATCAGTCCGTCTTTAGCCGAAGTCTCTGTCCAGCCGATAAAATTATTTTCTTTATAGAACGCTTCGATATCCAATTGATCGATTTGACGTTGAGGTAAATCACACTAAGCAATAAAAAATTATAACATTTCAGTATCTGTACATATGTTGCAGTCAACATGTGTGTAAATATAACAGTAAACATTAAATATTTTCAAACACATTAAATCATTATACTAAAATACACATGTACGAAATTAAACTGAATTTAAGTATCTACCTTCGATATTAAATCAAGGTATGATTGTATAAAATATAAATACATTAAATATTTTAAGTTTGTAAGTATAGTTCTTATCCCGTAATATTAATATTGGTATCAAATATTACATAATATATAGTATGTATATTAGTATATTATTAAATACTATTATAATGTATTTATGTATCTAGCAAATAGTCTGAAGTTTTAATGTGACCAAGAGAAATGTATAAATTGATTATAATACTATATACAGTTATTTAGCACATTTTTCAACCATAGTTAGTGAAAATGGATAGATAACTATCTAATACTATATTTTATACATAATAAATAAAATAAACGTTTAAATGATATCTAAAAATTGAAAGATAAAAATTCAAAACATATGAATCGAAAGAAATCTGTAGATAGCAGAAAATGGACATTTTTGTTTCATTTCGTAATAATAATATATAAGCTTTAATTGGATTTCTTATATACCATTTAACGGCGATATAAACTTATTATTTTCAAATGAGAATTTAAACTTTTTTACTGTAAGTAAATATTATTACTCAAATAATTTTTTTTTGAATATTTCGACATATTAAAATCAAATGAGTAATTTCTGAATTACTGAATTTCTGACTTTATGTACAATAGGATAACAGCTCTTCATAATGAGTTTAGGAGAGTTATGAGGGTTATTATTTATACGAAACTATTGTTAAGGACTATTATCTTTATTGTTCATGAAATTTAATCACTCTATAATGCAGTGACCAAAGTTACCAAACAATTATTATAATAATACTTAGCATTAAAATTTTAACAAATCTTCGTAATTTTTCCCACCAATTATTTTAAAAAGTAGTAAGAGTTTTCAATTTTCAGCTCCCAAAAGGAATGCTTATAATAAATAAGATTAAATTTACTACCAAAAACCACTTTCAAAGATGATAAGTGGAGTATTTTTTTTTATTAGAAAAAAACAATAAAAAATTTTAACATTTCAAATGATTATAAATAGTACAAAATAAATAAAAATTTAAAAAATTACAACACGTATAAAAAAATGGTAATATAAACATTTAATGAAAATGCCAAGTACCTAAATATCTACGGTAACTGGCAAGTAAGCAAAAAAATCAAAACTAATTTTTTCAAAATACTAGTTTTGTGTGAAAATTCCCGTTTTTCTTAATTGCGGTTTTTGATTTTTCCTGTTTATTTTGAAAATATTAAGATCGTTATACGTTTGACCCTAAAATACTAACTAGATCCAAATTTTTATAGGTAACATAATTCATTTTTATTTTGAAAATTTGAGCATACTGTATCAAAAACCGATGATAATTAAACATAAAAAACATATTGTAAAATCTATACATTCATCGCTTTACTCAGAAAATAAAAATAACATATTATAAAAGAAATGAGGTTGAAATTATATGATAATCCAATAATTATTTTTAATATCCAGTTCTAGTATATTATTGGTATTAAATTGCAATAGTACTTACTACTTAGAAATAATAATAGAATGATATTTGTACTTCAAAAAGAACACTTGCATTATCAAGATATAAAAAAAAATGCCATTCTATTATTTACGTAAGGTATTCATAATATTATTTTTAATGTGAAAGCGAAACCTATATTGAATATTGAAGCCATAAATGGAAAAAGAAAGAAACTATTTGATTCTTGTCTTACCAATTTACCAATGCAAACAAAATTATACACATAATCATAATTAATTTTCTTTTTTAAACATGTTAAATGATAATAAATATATAATAATTTAAAGTATAAAGATCTTTTAAATACATTTATGTATATCAACAATTAATATTAATTATTAGGGATCAGAATTAGATTCGTATAAAGAAATATAATTATGACCGCCAAGAATGAAAACTGAAGTAGAGTTTTTATAATTATATTATATTAGTTGTTTTATAATGTTTTTATACACAGGATTTTATTTATTTTATTAATTTAAATATTTAATATTTTTAAATATTTAGTAAAAATATGTATTATTGTTTTCTAATTTTCTTATTAAGAATACATAATATAAATTACGATTTTTGCCTAAATCAACTTGACAATAATACGAGTATTCTATATTATGATGATTTTGTGTATTAGATAATCAGCTATTACGTTAATAATTGAATTTAAAATGAAAAAAAATTTGTGATCATTAAATAATCAATTTTTAAATCATTAGAAAAAAATAGAGGATTTTTATAAAAAAAAACATAAGTATAAATATTAAGTTCTAAAATTAAAGCTGTGTACTCAAAACCTATTAAGCCATCACTAGGTATCTTTAATATCTAAAAAGAAAGATAACTTCAAACACAAGTTCAGGTATTTACTTTAAAGTAAATAAATTTAGAAAAAAGTAATACTACTAATTTAATTACATGGGCACGGTTTAATAAACTGTTATAAGTCATCCGTCATTACTTATTATCAAGTGACAAAAATAATAGTATCTTTATGATAAAATTAAGTATTAATTGTTGAGCTGAAAAGAAACTGATGACGTAATTATTTATTGTTTGTTTATGTTCTCGTAAATAAATCACAAAATAAATAGTTATTTACTTTGAATAAATCATATCTAAGTACCTATTTAACATACATGTATTAGTAATTAGTGTATGTGTATTATGTATAGTAAACAACTAACGTAATTATTACTCGATATTTATTCAAATTGATTTATTTATACTAATTAACATTTTTCTAAAATTTAATTTCATATGACTGCCTCGTTTCACATATATTTAATATAAACCAATTTATATGTTATACTTCTGTATTATTTCATTTTTTTGAGTTTAGAAACAAAATATTTGTTTTCTAATATTAACAGCTATTAGGTTTTTGTCTTCATTACGTTAGAAATGAAATAAATTAATAATAAGTACATAAGTTTAAAAATAATTATGTGTTAATAATTAAAGTATTTTAAAAGTGGTCTCATGTTAGTACCAACAATAACAACTATTTTTGTTGTGTTAAAACAAGATTTTACGCGGGGTTAAACTTGAAAATACAATTTAAATATACTTAAAACAAATGTACCAATTTTTTACGGTACTTAAAAAAACTTCATCTACGTTTTTATTTTGTGATATTAATATTTAATAATTTTTAATAAAAAAATAAAAATAATAACAATGCATTTTTACGAATGAATGATTAAAGAATCAAAATAAACTACCAAGACATAAATAAAATCTTCAGCTGATATTTATATGAACACTTTATATAGACTAAATGATACTAAAATATTATGTTGATGTTTAAAAACATTTTAATACCTTATTCCCCAATAACATGCATGGTATGGGACCGCCGTCTAATTGAGTGCATTTTGCATCAACGTCTTTTTTCCACTTCAACGTATTTAAAAACGAATTCTTATTTGATAAATCAAACATAATCACACACCCATGAGCATCTTTGTAGTACACGCGGGTCATCCATGTAAACCTCTCTTGACCTAAGTATGTAAAAAAACAATGTCATAATTATACATAAATAAATAGGTACATTTATATTCAAGGTTTACTTAAAAACTTGATAACCATACGTGGGCGCTGTAATGACTGACCTGCATTTAATATATTTCACATGGATTTTATTTAGTGTACTAATTACAGGACAGCTTAGTTTTACATTTTGATACTATTTTAAATTTACGTTACCTATACAGCACATAAAATAGGTTATACAATAGGTTTATAAATTATAACTATTTAAAGACAATATTAAAGGAATAAAAATTTAATTTACATTATTTGGAAAGTTTTTCAAAGCACAGCAGCATGCTTAATTGCAGTGAGAAATAAATATGTTACTATGAAAATTACTCAGAATTATATGATGTAAGTAAACCTGCAGTAATTATAATAACTATGTAACTAAAGTTATGCTACTTTATAGTACTATTTATAAATATTTACAAGTAATGAACAACTAAAAGTTACATAATAATTCAATAATTGGAATTGCCATTTTCATTTTCTATTTTTTTCGTAATTTATTATAATAATTTGAACCTATATGATTTACTGTAACTATAATTATGTAACTATTGATTTTTAGTTATAACACAATAAATATTATTAAAAAAGTCGTCTTCAAATACAACACCCTATTATTTATAGTGCTCAGTGTTTATGTTATATTATTAAATATTATATAAGAGCTAACGACAAACCTGCTATATCCCATAGTTGTAATTTAATAGTTTCCGTTTCGGAAACTTTAATAATTTTTAATGCGAAATCAACACCAACAGTACCCTTGTACTCTCTGCTATATGATTTTTGTACATATCGTTTGACAAATGCTGTCTTGCCCACAGTTGGGTCTCCTATTATGATTACTTTGAATAACTTCTCTGGCATTATGATATCTGAAATATAAATAATTAAATCAACAAAGTAGCAATATACAAGTATGCAACAAGAAAATATTTGTTTGCAAACGTTAATAGAATTTGTAATTATCATGATTACTATTCTATATGTCATAAAACCCTTGCGCATATCGAACCCAATAAACATATATGTATAAAAATTTTAGTGACAAATAAATAGGTAATTTTTAAAGCAATATTTTCGACAGCATAGGTATATAAAAATTATTTATGTAATTGAACATTTTTAAAAGCCTTCTTTAGACGTTAAAAACTAAGTGGGATTATTTTTAATGTCCCCATTTGACATTCGTAATTTATTTGGTTATTTAAATCCACAAATATTGAAACATCTACGTGTTGAAACAGAATTATTTTTAAAAAGTATAATAATTCTTATATTTTATGGATCAAACGTTGTTCTTAAAATCTGTGATCCGAGACTATGGCTATACACGTGAGATCGAATAAGGCTCACGTTAACAGACATGTGCCTGCCCGCGCATAGTCTATAATAGTCTACTTATAGACGTAGGTACTACAGTATTAAATAACGTAGGAAATTTAATTAGTTGGCCGCGTGTTATAAACTTTTAAGTAACGTATACACAATATTATAAACTTATTTTTTTTAAATTATTGTTTACACTTTGGTTGTGTTGCGTAATGACTAGTGACACATAATATGAATTTTCGTACAAGCGACTCAACGAAAATGCCTATATAATGGTATAATATGTATGATATATGTATTATGTATTATGTGCATCACCGGTTTTTTCTTCATATGCAATATATACTTCTTTATCCACTGAACATTAAAATTTAAATAACTATTTGAATAAACTCATAAAAATTATTACCTATTATGTAAACTCACTATCTCAGCTGTTTATCTATGGTATAAATAAAATAATATTGTGCAGGCTCTTTAATACAGTAATAATTTTTTAATGTTAATTAGTTAATATGTTATAAGTTGGGACCTACAAAGTATCAAGTTAAAAATGATCAATATATTTTTATGGTAAACATTAAAGCAACATTTATCAATGGCCACAAGTTATCTTAACTGTATTCGAAAGCTGAAAATCGATTTATATTATAAACTATACAGCTATAATAGTTAACATTGAAACATAATATGTAGAGTTTAACTTAATTATTATGATAAGTAAAGATTTAAAATAATAAAGGAATATTTAATAATTGTATTTATGATAGGTACAAATCAAACAGTTAAATTATATTTGAAATTATAAAACTAATTCATAGAAAATTATGACTAATATTAATATCATATGCATTTCTAATATTATATAATAAGTAATCATTAATGAATAAAAATTAATTTTAATTTTAAGTAATCATAAATTCAATTACATGATCGAATATTTAAATTTTAAATTATATTTATGAGTATTATGTATTTATGTGAACATAATTATTTTTATAAGAAAATTATAGACATGGATTATAAATATATATCATTCAATACCATTAACTAGTAATTTATGAAATGGATAACACTATATAATAATGTATCTATTTGTATTACTTTAATACGGTATAAACAATTGTATATATATATGATCTACAATCAAAACATATTTACATTTTATACAGATATAATATTATGGATAATAAATTATTTAAAATTTAAATAAAAATCAAAATAATTCGACGCTTCTACATCATTATATTAGGATATAATATAATCTAAATCAGCTGCAAATTAATAATTAATGGTGTTACAAATTACAATTAATTTATGGATTGGGTTATTGCTTCGAAAAACACAATAAATCCTGAATGGATATATGTACATTTTATCATATTGACGGTTTTATAACGTATAGAAACGCAATTATGATTATCGTTAGATATTTTATATACTATAGGTGATTCTCTTTTCAAACAACACTCATTATTTCAAAATTTACTGACGATTTTAAAATATAACTTTTCCAATCAAAGTAAAAAAAAAAAATTTTTTTAATATTATTTATCATTATAATTTTTTAAGTTTTTTTTTATTTTTTTGAACGACAACATACAGTTTTAATTAAATAATCTAAAGCAGAATATTTTTGGAGTATTTTTTTTTTTTAAATTCGGAAAAGTAGGTTATGAGTTATAACTTATAAGTATTTAAAACTTGAGTGAGCGTAGAGAAATATGAAAAAAATCCCACAAAATATTGGTCTACTACTCTGCTCACCTAAGCTTTAAAAAGTTATAATTCATAAACTATAATCATCCAAATTACGATTTTTATACATCGAAATACTTTGAAAAATATTTTGCTTCAGAGTATGAAATTAAAAGTATTCGTAGTTATCAAAAAATTAAAAAACGTGAAAATATAAAGATAAAAAATATTGTTTTTTTTTTTTGAAGAAGAAGAAGAAATGTTATGAGTGTTGTCTGATCAAATAATCACCAATTGATATAATATATATAATATATAAATATAATCTGTTCATATACATCAAGATACTATGGACATGATTAGTATGATGTGAAAATTGTTTCTCTTAAAACGAAAATGTTTACTCACTTATTTTATTTAGCTTATAGATAAATAGAAAGTACCTAATAAACCTGATACTATCAGAAGACATTTAACGATTTCAGTAGATATAAATTTTAAAAACATAGCCAATTAATTCATTGTGAGATATTTTTAGGTATATTTCTTAGATGAAAATCACGGATATCATTCCCAGTATCATAATTTTCAACAGATGAGCATGCATTTAGTCTGCAATTACAATTGTACAATTTGTTATAGTCATCCTCATATTTTTTTTCTTTTAAATTTGTATCGTTGTCATTTACGAATTGACTCTTTAACAAAGACATAACAAACTAATTTTTTTCCAAAAATATAAATTTTAATTCAATTGCAATTATTGCACACTTATAGAAAACAAACAAAATATTCATTAAGGTAAATTTCATCCAAATGCAATTAAATAAAAGGTTCTTTATTAGAAACAGGAAAATTTAAATTAGGTACAATTTCTATAAAAAAAATAATACGAACTAATTTAACATTAAAATATTAATAAGCTAATAAATCATATGTAATTAATTTAATACCTACGAACATTCTATTTTAGTGAGTATAAAGAATAAATTAAACAAGAACAATATAAAATTATTAAGCTATAATTTAATATTATACAAAAAAATAAGTTAAGAACTTTAAACTTTTAATTATTAACTTCATACTATACATATTACTTAACTTGCAGTTTATATGTTGCAGCAATATTAAAAACAAATTTTAAAATTTAAATACCATTTCATTTAACATGATTTTATAATTCCAATGCATGCATATGTTTGAACAGGTTTTTTGTATGTATACTGTGATATGTCCAATATGTCAAACATTCGATTTTTTTATTATTTTATATACTAAAATTTTTTTAGACATTACCTACAAAATGTAGGAAATGATAGGTAATGCCATTTTTCATATTATATACTTGTCTATTATGTTTAATATTTTAAACAACTTAACATTACAATCATAAATAGAGTTAACAAAAATAAGTTTTATATTGCACGAATATGAGTACTCGGAGGAGTTAAACCGAGGAATTTGTACTCCCCTGGACTTAAAATAATGTAATATAATTTTAAAAATTTAAACACCTTGATAAAATATCAGTGACATAAAAAAAACATGATTTAACGTCTTTATTAGCTAATTTTTGGTTTATTAGTAAAAATCCAACCATAATAATAATATAGTAATAGCTCATTTAAACTAGAATCAAAATGTATAAAAAAGATTGCTGTGATTTACTGCATGCCAATATTTTAGCTAAATTTACCTAAATTATGACAACAAAGAATTCACTTTAAGTTGACTTATTACAAAGTCTTAGTTAATGGTTACTGTTAAACGTAATATAGTCAGAAACCAAAGTACTCATCACTTACCATTTATTCAGCTGCAAGAATAGATTTTACTGATGGACTATGATTATCCGGCACAATATCTAGTGATAAGGTTATAATGGAAGTGAGTGAGTTTTAATGAAAGTTTAGTAAGTGGATATTAGTATAAATATGAGTATATAATGAGATATAAATAAAATTAACTTGATTAGATCGAAAAACGAGCATTGTACATAAATAAAATAATATAGCTTAAAAAATAAATAGAAAATCAAAGATTTTTTTTAGTTAATTGTAAGTCTAAATAGACTTTGTTGCTGCACTTATTACATAAATAACTTTAGCTATCAAGAAGAGAACAGTTTTTTTTCAAGCTGGTCGTATTTTAAATAAAATAATAAAACGATCTAATAGGGACCCCGATTATGAAACATGTTATAATATGGGGGAATATATCTCAACTAAAGTCTAGTTTAGATTGTATGTGTTAGTATATACATATATAATATTCGTTATACATGGGTTAAATATTGATTTAATAGCTTCCGTTTAGTATATTTTTAATTTCAATTTTCAATTTTCGAATAATGTAAAATAAAAATTATATAGTGTATTGGCAATGTTCTAATATATTGTACAAAATACATTCGCCTTACGAACTTAGAAAATATAATGTTTTATAGAATTTTATTAAATATTTTAACATTTTTTTTTTTTTTTTTTTATTAAAAAATATTGATGAGGGAGGCCATATGAGCGAAAATAATTCATGAAAAAGGAACTATTAAAGATAGTTAATAATTGTTTGATTTAAATCTAGTAACAAAAACGCAGTATTTAGGCATCAAGACTTAAGTACTACGTTTGTATGTCAGACTACAATTAATGAATAAAAACAATGCTGAATGTATTGTATGACTATTGATTTTTACTTTTTTAGATTATTATTTACCTATATTTATACTTTTTAGATTATTACTTATTAATTATTATATTTTACGGATTATTTCTTATTGTGTCGATTGAAAACGCAACCGTAATTGACGTTTGAATTTCTAAATTGCATTCAATTATCATTTATA